GACTGGGGGGTAGAAGGGGGGGCTGGTGTTTATACAAACTTAGGCCAGAATTTAAGATTACTGATTACTGGATGCCTTGCATGTTGGGTAATCTGGGGAGGGGGCACTAGAGACTGCAGCAAGGGACAACTCCCAGGTGGCTGCTGCCTCCACCAGCTAACATGACCAGTTGTAAGTCCGTTCTGTTCTTGGCTACCTCCCTCCCCAAATAACCGATTTTCTCACGAATGACCAAAATGGGGCCTATTTCTATTAAGAAAGCATCTTTCTCAGGTGCATTTTCTTAGCTATTCAAATGCAGAGATTCCTAAGCCAACCTTGGTAGCTTTGAAGCAGAGTAAAGAGATCAGTTAGCTGCTTTTATCTTCTAGAGTATCTGGTATGGAAAAGGTCGTAGTTTTACTTCTCATGAAATGCAGTAAGCAGATTACTACAAATACCTGCCTTTTCACGTGCTCTTAACTTGGCAGTTGAAACTTATTTTCCCTTGACCCAGTCCACCTCATATCCTAACAGTCTACGAGGGCTAGAGTCCCAGAGGCGTCTGAGTAGCCGCGCTTTTCTGCAGGACATACCTAATATGAGGGCTAAACCTCTTCCCACCCCTTTTAAGAAAATGTCTATTTTCTTAAAAACCTCCCCTTAACGCTGGCTGACAGAAGCTTCAGCTGGCCGGCGGGTTTCCTTTGACCTTGATTATGACCAGGGGTGTCGCGGCTAATTGGAAGACCCGCCTCGAGGTGGAAAATGTCATCAGTTTCCACGCCACCTTAGAGAGGTCCAGCTGGGGAGCGGGAGGCGTGGTGAAATGGTCCTTTCCAGGCCCACCTCCTGTCACCCAGAGAGGGGCTTGGAGGCCGCCTACAGGTGCAATCCCGGCACTGCGGCCCGGGGTACGGAAGCCCCCCGACCTAGCGGCCCGCCCGCCCTTTCCAAGCGCGGTCGGGCCCCGGCGTGCCCGCCGTCCTGGCCTCCGCCTGGCTTGGCGAGGAAGCTGGGAGCCCTCCGAGGCTCTGCAGACTTGGATTTGGCAGGGGTGGCGCCCAGCCGAGGCTTTCCCTCGAATCTGCGGCCAGCCTGGCTCCGGGAAAGTTTTGCAAAATTCTCAGCAATGCCTGCCCAGCTCGCCTCCGGCGGGCGAGCAGACGGCTGCAAGTGCGCCCGCCTCGCCGCCGCCAGCCCAGCACTCGGAGCGGCCGCTCGCTCTAGCCGGGAAGCGGGCCGGGCTCCCCGCGGGCGCGCCCTCCTCCCCAGCGAGAGCCGCAGCTGCCACCCGCGGCGCGCAAGGCGGAAGCGGCCAGCTCAGGGTATGCCCCGGCGTCTACACCGAGGGTCCCTAATCCGAGCCCTAGAGGGGCGTCCCGCGCTCTCCCGAGGGCGAGGGGTCTGCGTGTGGCCTCGAACGCCTCCGCCACCCCGCGCGACCGCCAGCCTGGTCCCTTCCAAGTTCTTTCCAGCCCTCCCCGTCAATCCGGAGGGAAGGGGCGTGTCAGGAGAGGACACGCCCCTCATGAATATTAATAGACGCGCATGCGCCTTGCCAGGCGTGCTGGGTAGAGGTGGCCAGCCCGGACCGCGGCTCCCAGACGGGCTCTCCCGGTCCCTCTCCGAGAGCCAGGCGGGCACGCGTCATTGTGCTACCTGCAGCCGGCCCGCAAACTCGCTCGGATTTTTTTTCCTACCCTCCCTCCCCCCTTTTCATGCAGCTGACCTGAAAGGAAATAAAAGGCTGCGCATAATCATAATAATAAAAGAAGGGGAGCGCGAGAGAAGGAAAGAAAGCCAGGAGGTGAAGAGGAGGGGGAGCGTCTCAAAGAAGCGATCAGAATAATAAAAGGAGGCCGGGCTCTTTGCCTTCTGGAACGGGCCGCTCCTGAAAGAGCTTTTGAAAAGTGTTGTTTTCCAGTCGTGCATGCTCCAATCGGCGGAGTATATTAGAGCCGGGACGCGGCGGCCGCAGGGGCAGCGGCGACGGTGGCACAGGCGGGAGCTCCAGCGCGAGCAGCGGCGGCGGCGGCGTCCCGAGTGCCCGCGGCGCGCGGCGCAGTGATGCGGTCTCCACGGGCGCGCGGCCGGCCCGGGCGCCCCCTGAGCCTCCTGCTCGCCCTGCTCTGCGCCCTGCGAGCCAAGGTAGGAGCCTCTCGCCGCTTCTTCTTCCCGGCCGACCTCCTTTCCTTCCCTTCTCTGCTCTTCCCTTCTCTGCTCTTCCCTTCTCTGTTTCCTTCTCTCCTCTTTCCTCCACTCCCCTCGCGCCGCCCGAGACGCGGGTGCTTGTACGCCCGGCTGCCGGCCCTGCGTCCCAGTGGCTACACCTGGGCGCTGGAGCGCCAAGTCCTCCAGAAGAGCCCCCGGCCTCCGAAGTCTGACCCCTCCTGGACGCACAGAGCGCTTTTGCTCCGCTCGCACCTCCCGGGTTTCCAACCTATGCGATCGTGGGATTTTTTCCCCCGCACTCGTCCTTGAACCTAGTTCTGCAAAAAAAATTTTTTTCCTTGGCTCACGCCGAGGACTCGTCGAGGGGAGTCGCCACCTCCACCCTTGCAGCCAGCAGTTTTCTCCCGTGCTGACCTTCTGCCTTCTTCGCCCGCAGGTGTGCGGGGCCTCGGGTCAGTTCGAGTTGGAGATCCTGTCCATGCAGAACGCAAATGGAGAGCTGCAGAACGGGAACTGCTGCGGCGGCGCCCGGAACCCAGGGGACCGCAAGTGCTCCCGCGATGAGTGTGACACGTACTTCAAAGTGTGCCTCAAGGAGTATCAGTCCCGAGTCACGGCCGGGGGGCCCTGCAGCTTCGGCTCGGGGTCCACGCCTGTCATCGGAGGCAACACTTTCAACCTCAAGGCCAGCCGTGGCAATGACCGAAATCGCATCGTCCTGCCTTTCAGTTTCGCCTGGCCGGTGAGTGGCCACCCTGCAGGGAGCCGACGGAGCCTCGTGCCCGCGCCTGCCAGATTCCATTTGCCTTTACAGGGGGCTTTTTTAAAGGGTCTGGGTTTGAAACGCGGCACTAAACCAGG